CTGTCATTAAATATTTGCAAAGCGATTACTCTGCATTGTCTGGGACAAATGCGAGGCTTGCGTTACCCCATACTATACATAAGATTTTTCATTACTATTTTTTTTCTTCCAATCATGACAATATAAGAACAAGGGTAATTGACACAAAACGTTTCTACCTCTAAAGTTTATTTGTGGAAAACATTCATATCTTTCATTTTTTGACGTTTTTATCCTTATCATTCACCTTTCTTTGTGCTGAACGATCTTTTCACCAATTTTTAACTTAAAATGACTAAAATATCCTCTTATTTATACAAAACAAAAAAAGAAAAGACAAGAAAATTGCATCTATAGGCCCAAAATTTTGAAAAGTGCAAAAGAGTCCAAATTTGATAAAAACCATCACCTTCTTTCACCCCCCCCCCCACTCCACCCCGGCCTCCACCTCAACAACCACCACCCACCGCCTAAAACATCAAAGCTCACACCAACTAGTTGTCTAACCTGCCTAAAAGCTTAAGTTCTTGTTACCAACACATTGTTGTCCAATCTTTATTTGATCTAGCTAAAAATACAAATTAAAGTTTAAGTCAAAATTAACAATCAATTTTAACCAAATATTTTAGAATAATGCTACTAGTTCACAATGGAGTTACATAATGGTTTAAATAAAAATCATAGTGTCAAAAAGAGAGCATTGAAGTTTTTTATTTAATTTATTTGATTGAAGAAATTTTGTTCAATTATATCTCATCATATTATCTGTATGTAATTTATTATGTACATGTAGCACAATCTAACATTTTATGAGATTCACGACTTTTTAATCACATATTTGATCAACTTTTATAAAATTTAGAGGGTGTTTGATGAGAATTAAAATTAAATTTTTTTTAGTAAATTGTGATAAAAATATTTGAAATGTGTAGTTGAAAAGTTGTAAGAGTCATGAAAAATATAATTAATATTGATTGCTTGGCTTTGACTTAGATTAAAATTAAATTTTAATCCAAACCACACATGCTCTTACTAAAAAAATATTTTTATATTTAAATCAAATGGGGCCTAGTTAATAGTTAAGCTATTGTACAGTGAATGTGGAGATATGGGGCTGTAATCCATGAAACCATGATACCGCACAACCACCACGAGCGTTCAAAATCAAGCACAACTACTCTCTCTCTCAAAACTATTAGTCCTTTTTTGTCTCTCTATGGATGTGTTTGAGTCCCTTTTTCGGAAAAATAAAATTTAAAATAATGATTTTTTTTTTAAAAATGTGAAATTAAAAAGTAATAACAATTTTGAGTTCACGAGTAAAATTATTTTATTGAAAATAATGTATAATTAAAAATTAGTCGAAGAAAAAATAAATTTTAAAAACAAGGTTTCAAACATGGCCTATATCTAAACCTCGGAGATTGAGCCTTTAAAGCGAAGGGAGATATTAAAAAGAAAAGCAAAGAAAAAGAAAGAAAGCAACATATCATAGCAAAAACCCTATTGCATATACAACTTGTACACCTTCTACTTGTATGTTTTTGGTCTAAATAGTTACATTATCTTTTTTCCTTTTACCTCCACGTTAAGCAGTAAGTTCATAAAATAGAATTGTTAGAGAGTAAAAATTCTTGAAGGAATGTCTTTGTTTCTCTGATATTTGATCTCATCTTTCTTAATCAGTTAAAGAGAGATACGATGTAGAAAAACTTGTCTAAACGTGATTATTTATTTCGAGGACAAAGCTATCGACTTTACATGCCCATCGTTTGAGTCTTGGATGAGTATTTGATCTCATCTTTCTTAACCAGTTAAAGGGAGTGATGACGATGTAGAAAAACTTGTTAAGTGTGATTATTTATTTCGAAGACAAAGCTATCGACTTTACATACCCAACATTTGAGTCTTAGATGAGTATATTTGATCTCATCTTTCTTAACCAGTTAAGGGGAGTGATGACGATGTAGAAAAACTTGTCTAAGCATGATTATTTATTTCAAGGACGAACCTATCGACTTTACATACCCATCATTTGAGTCTTGGATGAGTATGTAATAATTAATTGTTTAATCAGGTGATTTCTATATCACATTCTTGATTTAAAAAGCATCTAAAAAACAATATCTGCAATTTTCATTCTAGATTTAAATTAAAACTGACATTTTTATTTTGCAATTTTTTCGTAGCTCTATTTGGGGACAGATTCCGTCCCACGTCACCAACCAAACCTTCATTTGGGATGAATGTATAAAGGGTAATTTATAAATAGATATAAATGAGTGGTGAATAAATGAATAGTACTTATGGATTCATTAGAAGTGTGATTGAAAATTAAGTTTGATCATTCATAACATTCACAATTTTTTTTCAAATCGAAAAAACACCGATACTTAGAAGATCAATATATATATATATATAAACACATTAATCGATTAAGATCTTTTAAGATTTGTACCACAATCAAAGAAAAAGTAAGGACACATAATATACCTCCTATGCACTAGATTTAAAATCATCTTTAGACTTTGGCCAATATGGTAGAGTCTACTCTTGCAAAGAAATTATAGAGTAATAGAAGGGGCATGCAGCTCAACTTTTGGCTTCTTTCCTTCTTGACAATACCTTCTACGCTTTTATTAAAGATTAAAGAAAAAAGAAAAAAAAATAGAGTAAGTTAGCTATTAATGATCAATATTTTTCTATAGTTACATAATCAGTATATAACGATTCAAATTATTTAAATTTTTGTTAAGTCATCGAATAATTTTTGCATGTCCAACTTTATAAACTATCTTTGTTTTCTCGACTTCCCTAAAAATTTGAAATGAGATATGTTTTGATGAAAGGCGTGAGGTGATTTCACGAAAATTTGAAATTAGAAATCAACTCATTGCCAGAATAATTTAGGGACGGGTGGAAAGTTACAAAAGGTAATTATTAAATAAACGTGAAATTATTCATTTTTAAGCAATACACCATAATAAAGGATTTGATGTGCCATTTCCTATTAAGGAAATGTTGGGAATAGAAATTTTGTTACAAATTGAAGATGAAAGAATAAGGCGTGTATTTTATTCCAATTGGTCACTATTAGTTTCTTCATTACCTCCATGATTTAAAATATCATATTAACATATAAATTTGTAATTTTTTTATGATTAAATTTTTGGATGAATTAATATAATGAGCCTGTTTGGGAGTGATTTTGAGGACTGATTTTTTGACCATTAGGAAAAGAGTGGGGTCGATATATGAAAGAAGAAATCAAATATGACGACTGAAATAGTGAAATAACGGTCAAAAAATCAATTTTTTGGGGCAAAAAATCGCTCCCAAACAAATATTAATCCACTCACTTGAAGAATATATTAATTAAGTCCTTATTTGGTAGAAATTAATATCAAATAATAAATTTTGATAAAAGTTAATGGAATGTGTGGTGTAATGTGGATCCTATAAAATTTATGATTAAAATTAATTGTTGATTTTAACTTAAATTTTAGCTCTTGTTTAAGCCCCATTTTGAAGGAAAGAATGCATTTTGAATAGTAGATGGATGGAGAATGTATAGTTAAAAATTATGAAAAAATTTTGAATTTACGTATAATATTATTTATTGAAAAGTGTATAGTTGAAAATGAGTTTTGAAAAAATGAGTTTTTAAAAGAATGGAACTCAAACAACGGCTTAATCATCTTTTTAACTTGACCAAACAGAGGCTAAATAAATTATACATATTCAAAAATTCTTTTCGCCTACCAATGCTTCTCAAAATACATGAAAAACCAAAAGGCGAAAAAAAAAGAGAAATGATATTCGTAGTACTTATTATGTCAGTTGTTCTACGTAGCATACACATGACAAGTAGTTATTAGATGTATTAATGAGGCAATTTTTTATTAACTTTTTTATCATATAATTATATGTCATGTGTATGTCACGTAGAACGACTGTCGTAATGAATGATCGTAAATACCATTATTAAAAAAAAAAAAAAAAATTCTCAGATCTAATCGCTCGGAAGTCGGATCTCCATAAAGTTCCCATTTTTTACATTAAGGACCTTATCATGGTTTGGTCATCTCTGAACCACGAGTATCCGTAAATTACATCTTTTTATGCCACAAGAAGCCGTGTTATTGGAGGGTCCATAACTGGTTCATACACCGTATGATAGCTAATTACATGCAATCTGTTGGGTCCCTATTCAATTGGTCATCTGTAACACGTACAAGCACTCACGTGTCTAGTTATTGCGCTATATGACCCATCATCGAGTGACCAGGTGTAGTACACACTGTCATACACTAAAAATCTTCTTTAACTAATTCAAATTAAAAAGGAAGAAAGCCTCGTTTTATAAAAATTAAAATTCAAATTTTAATATGAATTTAAATCAATAATTAATTTTAATCATATATTTCATCAAATCCATAACTTTTTAATCACATATTTCATAATTTGTTTTTATCAAAATTTAGTAAAAATTTGATTTTAATTTCCACCAAATAAAGGCAAAATTATTGAATAAAAACACGTGATTTATTTATTTTTAGTCAAAATCTATAACTAAGTTCATTTAGGTCTGGTTTGATTTATCGAAAGAGTCAATAAAAATTTAAGTCCGTGTTTTGTATAAATTTTTTAAAATTTACCCTTTTTCAAACTTATATTTTTAGCACGTTATTTCAATAAAATAATTTTGCATGTTGATTCATAACCTTTTCCTAAATTACATATTCTTAAAAAAAAAAAATCACTTTCCATAAAATTTATTCTTAAAAAATTTACTCAAATAAGCGTTTAGTTAATAATTAATTTTAACAATATATTTTCATCTGATCCACAACTATTATTAACATTTTAACAACACACTTTCATTAACTTTTATAAAAAAAAAAAAAAAAAAATTGCCATAACAAAATGAAAAGTTCGGAGCTCGGAGCCCACAAACCCAAAGCGCAATAAGAACAAAATCTGTAGCCATTTACTAGGTCTGCGCCCCCACTCCTCGCACCCCTACAAAATCCACCCCACATTCTTAAAGTCTCCTCCTCCACTTCTATAGAAAGATGGCTCAATGCAAAGCTTTGGGCTTCTCTTTCTCCATCATCTTATACTTCTTTGCTTGACTTTAATGAATGCAGGCCTTTAATCTCTTTTTCTAGGAAGAACATGGCTCAACAAGTAAACTTTCCATTCTTGTTAGATACTTTGTATTGTGAGGAAGAAGAGCATTGGGATAATGAAGAAGATAGCATCTTTAAAAATGATAGCAAAACATTAAACCATAAATCTCTAGTGTTACTTGAACAGGATTTGTTGTGGGAAGATGAAGAGTTAAGCACATTATTGTCAAAAGAGCAGGAAAATGAACTGTACAATGGCCTTGAGGAGAACCCATCTTTGGCCAATGCTAGAAGTGAAGCAGTGGAGTGGATGCTGAAGGTTACTGTATATTATTCATTCTCTGCTGTCACTGCAGTTCTTGCAGTTAACTACTTGGACAGGTTTCTCTCCAGTTTTCAATCCCACAAAGAGAAGCCATGGATGACTCAACTAGCAGCTGTGGCTTGTCTTTCTTTGGCTGCAAAAGTAGAGGAGACTCAAGTGCCTCTCCTTTTAGACCTCCAAGTATGTAAAATTTCTATTTTGATGTATGCTACCATAGGAAGAAGGATTGGACAATACTGAATATCGAAAATTATGAAAGTGCAAAAGTCAAATTTTGTTTCCAGTTTTGTCTACTAAATGATAATTTTGTATATTTGGAATATTGATAAGGGGTTTTTATGGATTTAGGTGGAGGAGCCTAAATATGTATTTGAGGCAAAAACGATTCAAAGAATCGAGATGTTGGTTCTGTCCACCCTTGAATGGAAGATGAATCCTGTTACCCCACTTTCCTTTCTTGATTACATTGCAAGGAGACTAGGATTGAAGAGACACCTATGTAGGAGATTTCTTAAGAAATGCGAGTGTCTGCTTCTCTCTCTCACTTCTGGTAAGCATTTTGAGACACTTAGTAGTCCATGTCTCAGATTAAGCTCTTAAACGAGGTGATTCAAAGTGACATCGAAGCACGTATTTCACCGCTGTTTACGAACACTTGTACATGGGTTATGCCTGATAGTTAGAATGCAATAAACTTTTAACTTTTACTGATCATATTGTGTTGTATCAATTGCAGATTGTAGATTCATCTGTTATCTGCCTTCTGCATTGGCCACTGCTGTAATGCTGTATGTTATAAGTAGTGTAGAGCCCTGCATTGGAGTCGAGTACCAATACCAACTATTAGGCATTCTTGGAATCAAAAAGGTTGGATTTCCATTTTCCCATCTAAATTTCATTCTTACAGATCTCGTCTAAAGGTTCAAACTGATAAAAAGATTCTTCATCGCATTTCATAGTCTACGTGACATGTTTTTCTATATAAATTTAATCTTCGACGGCTATTTAAACAATCTTTGTGTAATGAAACAGGAGAAAGTGGAGGATTGTTGTAGACTAATACAGGAAGTGACAACAAATGCTCACTTCCACTCATCCAACAAAAGGAAGTTTGGATCATTTCCTGATAGCCCCAATGGGATTATGGATATTTCATTCAGTTCTGATAGCTCTAATGATTCATGGGCTGTGGCATCATCATCAGTTTCCTCTTCACCCGAGGCAATGTCCAAGAAAATCAAGAACGTTACCTAATTTCCTAGTCCTCAAACTTCGCTTAATGTAAAACATGAGTTCTTCATTCAAAAATTTTCGACATTCATATCTTCAAACTATTGCATTTGGGTGCAAGTTTGTCCCAACACTACCACAATTTCCCTTTCTTTCACATAAGACTGGAGAATACTCTTATTTATATGTTTAATAATATTTAAGCAATATCATTTATTTCTATTTATTCATGTGTTAATGAAAAGTTGTTTTGAATTTGACATTTTCTTTAATCTATAAATTTAGTCAGCGGCGTTTTTCAACATAGACAAGAACGGGTGTTTGCAAGGGTAAAATTTGTTTGCATGTGAGGGGAGGAAAAATTTGTCGGGCACTAGAATCAATTGGAATTGAAGTTTGCTACATCTTTTCGATTTCACCTCGTTGGAAGAGCCAACTTTGTGTTTTCAATCATTAGCCAATAGGATTTTAGATGATATGAAATAGTATTAAAAAACGTTAAATTTTTCGATTATTATAGAATTAATTTCTAACCCTAGAAGGAAGGATAAAAATTTCTCACTATTGACGTGACAAGAGAACTTTAGTTATGATTCTTTAAATTTATTATCGTTTCAAATAACTATAACTAAAGTTCTTTTATCACGTCAACATCGAGAAAATTTATCATGTTCACTGAGAGTAGGAGACCAGAACTATTAGTTAGTATTTCATAGCAAACACGGATAGAATAGTTAAGTTGGATAACACTAAACATTGATGATAGAGATCATAAAAAATATTGTTTCTTGCTATTAAATTGTACTCAATGAAGTAAACGATACTATTTGGTCATTATCACTTGTTTGTTGAAGACCAAAAAATAAAAAAAATGTAGTGTATATATTTCGCAGTAAACTACTTGACTTTAGTTGAGGTTTAGAGCCCGTTTGATTCCCATTTTTCTAAAAATGAGAATGAAAAATATACTCGTTACGGGACCCACATAAAAGATATAAAGTCAAATATGGTAACTTGATGTGATGGATAACGGTTACAATTTTCATTTTTGTGGCCAAATAATGAGAATCAAACAGAGCCTTAATTCAAGATTGGCTGCGGATTCTTAATTTCTATTTTCATTTTTCTAAATTCATCGGTTGAGTTTACTCGGGGTTAGTCGAAAATTGAGTCTACTCAATTATAGTCGTGGCCGAGCTACACACGAGTTGGGGGTCAAATTCCCATCTTAACGTCTAAAGTACTTGGTATTTGAAAAATGACATTGGTTGATTTATTTCCTTGGTAGGATCAAATGATAAAATAAAAATATTTCATTGCAATGCTCTATTATTGGATGTTTAATAAATAACTCTTACATTAACTAAAGTCTGCTCATATTTTTGAATTGAGTATATTATTGATCTTTGATGTTAGCATTACCGTGAATGTCGGAGCGATATAATGTGCACACGCTCATACGTAGGGAAATTTGCAGAATTTGTCTTAATTTATCATCTTAATAATAAGTCGGTCTTCAACTATTAGTATTTGAATCAACCTTAAATGATATAAATAATCATTCAATTTTTCGTTAAATTATTATGTGATCTTTATATAAACATAACTCGATTCAAATCTTTGGGCAACAATCTAAATTGGTATGTAAAACCTAGTTTCGAGCATGTTTGGCAAAGCTTTAATTAAAATTTGAGCAATCGAACTTGTCAAACATTTTTTATCTACAAATTTCTTAAAATCTACAATTTACGGTCCACATATTACGTATAATTCATAAGTACTATCAAATACATATGATTTCTAAAGTTGGATAGTAAGATCATGTGACGATTTAAAAGAGATAATAAAACTTCTATCGACTGATTAAGTTAAGCCTTTGTTTGAGCCTCATTCTTTGGAAAAAAAAAATGTATTTTTAACAGTGTTTTGACATCATTTAACCATACATTTTTTAATAAAATAATATTATATGTAAATTCAAAATTTTAACTTATTTTTTAACCACACATTTTCTATCAATACACTATTCAAAAATTCATTATTTCCCCAAAATGAGGCTTAAAATAAATAAAGGTCGGACCACTAATGCAATTTGTCCAATATATGTGGACGTGGATGCAAGTTGATTTGCGCCTATATTGACTGTGTCATTGAGTAAACCTATGAGCGTGTCAACAGATAGTATTATGAAATGGGACAGATTTTTTTGTCTCCTTACATTTGTTTTCTTGTCGTATGATGAGCTTCTTGCTGGCAAAATTAGCTTTACAAACATATACTATGGAAGTTTTTGCTAATTTGTGCTCCATTTTCAAATCTAACTTTTTTACTTTAGCTCCATTTGGTAATGATTTTTCATCCAAAAAAAATTGATTTTTTAATCGTTATTTCACCATTTCAACCGTCATTTTTGAATTCTTCACTCACATGTGGCGTCCACCTTTCTCTCTAACGATTAAAAAATCAATTCTCAAAATCACTACCGAACGGGCTCTTAATGGCCCGCATTGTTACAAAATACCTAAGGAGTTGGTGGAAGAAATCTCGGGAGCGATGCCACGGAAAATTACGTGAAATTTAGGTTATAGCTTTTAAATTAAATGATTCGATATGATATAAAAATAGATAATATTTTAGCGGAAGTTCATAGTAATATTTTAAAATTTTCACTTATATTAAAATCTAATCCATATAAATAGATAAACTCTATGGATTAAAAGATAAGAGGATAAAAAAGCTAATTACAATCTGAATAGAGCTACCTCAAAAACCATGCACATCCCAATACATAAGCGCGAGAAATTGAATCAAGAGCCTTTCTCCTCCACTTGAATTGATTTTAACTTCTTATGGTTCATAATATATTGAATATTGTTTTCTTCCAATTATGGAATCTTATATCTTATCTTTGTTGGAAAAATGAGTAAATGGGTCATTTTTGACATAAGTTTGAATGGGATCCGTTGGTCTGATTTGGAAGATCAAAGTTGATCCGTGTTCTCCTTCATGATAGCGTCGAAACCATATATTTACTTGCAAAAATTGATTAACGGATGAATGAGAAATTGGAGCTCAAAGTTAGCCATTGGAAGATGGTTTATGTGAAAAAAGTGACATTTGTCACACATAGGAAAATGAAGAAAGTATGAACCACTTTATATATGCTTACACTTTGAAATGATGTAGTCATGTGTAGTATAGAGGCTCTCTCCAGGGGTGCAAATTTCGGACCGAAATAGCCTTCGGACCTTGAACTTGGCTGCTGTCGCGACTTGCGTACACGAATGTCAGATCGAACAAGGCAAAATTCGCCCCTTCAGAGAGCCCACGTTTTGCAATTTTTTTTTGCTTTCTTCAATGACTTTTGAGTTTCTGAAACTGCAAAAATGCCAATGGATTTCCAATGGTCACAGTGTTAATGGGCAGTAACTCCAATGGACTCCCAATAATCACAATGTTAATGGGTAGTATGCCTATAAAAAGACTCATTCTCCAGCAATCTAACACATTCGAAAATCTCACATACATTCTTGCGTACACAGTTTCTTCTTTTTTGCATTCCTTGTCCAATAAGGTCTGGTTATTGTGGTGATATTATTCGAATACTAGATCAGTTCGCCAGAGTAGTATCTGCGGTGCTCAGATTCTACTGTATACCGTTGTATTCTGGAAAACAGTCGCTCGGATTAAAACTCAAGCAAATACGGTGAGAGGATGAATCTGTTTTAAGGACACCGTGTTCACACAGGCCTCGAGTTAAAAGTTTATATGAAATTATAAGCACGTCGTTAATTTTATTTCTCTGAAATTTTTGTTAATTTTCAGCTTTCCAGTTTAAATTTATTAAATTAACGTGTTTTACATAACTTAATATAATTTAGTTCTAAATTAGATTAATATATTGTGGTTTATGATAATTTAGTTTATTGTGTAATTAACTAATATTA